GTTTCAGGTGGGCTTCTATGTTACAAGATCTGTATATTGCCTGCCATCCAAAGTCAGATCTCCTGTCACCTTAACTGGGACCCCCTTCACCCCCAACGCCCTTCCCTCTGGCAGCCACCACACTGCTGCTGTTTGTGTTCACGAGTTTCAGGTTTATATCCCACCTATGAGGGAAATAACATGGTTCTTAGCTTTTCCCTGACTTATTTCACTTCGCATAATGTTCTCTAGGTCTATCCATGTTGTTGCAAATGGCGCCGTTTCACCCTTTCTTATGGCTAGGCAGCGTTTCATTGTGCATAGGTACCACCTCTTTATCCAGCCCTCCACTGCAGGCTGTTTCCATGCCGTGGCCTTTGTGAATGATGCTGCAATGAAAATAGGGATGCATATATCTTTGTGAATACATGATTTTGAGATTTTTTTGGGGGGGCGGGATATATACTCAGGAGAGGGATTGCTGGGCCATATGGTAGCTCTATTCTTAATTTTTTGAGGAATCACTAGACTGCTTTCCATAGTGGTTCTACCAGCCTACACTCCCCCCAGCTTTGAATGAGGGTTCCCTTTTCCCCACAACCTCTCCAACACCTGTTAGTGCTTGTCTTGTTCATAATGGCCACTCTAACAGGTGTCAGGTGCTATGTCAGCGTAGTTTTGATTTGCATTTCCCTAATTGCCTGTGAGGTTGAACATCTTTTCATGTATCTATTGACTGTATGTCTTCTTGGGAGAGGTGTATTTTCAGGTTCTCTGCCTGCTTTTTGGTTGGGTAGTTTGAGTTTTATGAATTCTTTAGATATTTTGGAAATTAAACCTTTGTTGGAGCTACTGTTTGCAAATATCATTTCCCATCTAGTTGGATGCATCTTGTTGTTAGTTTCTTTGGCTGTGCAGAAGCTTCTTAGTTTGGCCTTTACTTACCTTGCCTTTGGGGTCAAGTTCATAAAACGTTCAAGTTCATAGTATATTCACAGGGTTTTTTAACCATTCCCACTATCTGCTAGAATCCCATTTCCTCAAAGGAAATATCATATCTATTAGCAGTCATTCCCCATTCGTCCCACTCTTGGCCCTAAGTAACTACTAATCTGCTTTCTGTCTTTATGGATTTGCCCGTTCTGGACATTTCATGCAGTAGACCCCAAGGATCTGTATTTTTAACTTGTTGTTGAGCCAGCAGCTACCTTTGGGCAATGCAGATCTGCAACTCCCTGCTCAGTCAGCTCTCGTGGACTTGGGGGAAGCCAGGTGAAGTGATATGGTCCCCACCCCAACCGCAGTAAATCTTCTAACAGATCAGCTGGGCTTACTCAGGATTTCAAGTGTCCTCCTTTGAAAAGATATTCAGCCATTCACAGGCCTCAGTTGGTCTCTAGCCTTTCTCATTGCCTCTCCAGGCCTCTTACAGGGCCTGTGGCCACCCCAAAGCCTTCTCAGAGACCTTCTGGTTAAGTCCTCTTTCCCCTAATCGCTCTCCTTTCTCCCCCCCCCTCCCTCATCCCTTTTCTAAACTCCTTACCAGGCCTTCCTGGCCTCAGGGAGGCCTCCCACAGAGGTGCTTATAAAGAGCTCATTAGCCCAGATCAGCTGTTTTCAAAGTGTGGTCCCCACATGAGGATCCCCAAGGTCAAAACTTTTTTCATGATAATAATACCTTTTCCTTTTTATATGTGTGGCTTTTTAAATGCTCATTCTCTCAGGAGTTTTCTAGTGGAATGGGTTAGTGAGTCTCTATTCTTGTTTTACAATTTTTCTCAGTTTTAATTACTAATGATAAATATTGACAGATATAATCCACTCAAAGCTCTTTGGGATCTTCAATTTTTAAGAGTATGAAGGGATTGTAAGACCAAACACTAAGAACCCTGGCCCAGATGGTTTTCTAATTGATGATAATTACTAATTTGATAGTTGAAGGAGGCTGCTTATGGAGGGGAGGAATTGGGGCGGGGGGGGGAAGACAGAGAAGAAAAAGGAAAGGAATGGGAAAGGGAGGGATGGGGTAGAAAGGGAAGAGAGAGAGGAAGAAAAGGAGGAACAAGAAAGGAGACAAGGAGAGAGGTGGGATAGGAAGAGAGGAGGGAGGAGATGGGAGAAGAGAGAGAGATAAGGGAGAGGAAGTAACAGGAAAGGGAGAAGGGAAAGGGAGGAGGGGTGGACAGACAGAACTCGAAGCAGGGAATGGATCCTAGTGAAGATGTGCCAGGCTGAGCTAGGTACATACTGTAATGCCGTCCCAGTTTCTAGATGAGGACACTGAGCCGGGGGAAATCTGGATGATACCCTGTATCCTGTACAAGGGGCAGAGCTGGGTCTGAACCTAAGGTCACATCCGTTGTCACCATGCTGCCCCCTCTAGCTTACAGAGGAGTCCTAAGTGTCAGTGTGCCACCTCCTAGCCAGCTGGCCAAACAACTAGGAAAGCCCAGAATGCAAAGGCTTTACAACCTTTGCTGCCATTAAGCTGCATATAATCCAGGGGAGGGAGAGGAGGCGGCCGAGGGGCGGGAGAGGAAGGGGGTGTGGATCGCCTGCTGCTGGGTCTTTCCCGAGCAGCTGCCGGGTTTCAGGTCACAGGCCTTTCCCATCAACCCCCATGGCTGCCCACCTCCTCAGGGGACTCCCTTCCCGCCTCCCGCTGCTTCCCTCTGGCTGGGGAGGGCTACGCACACAGGGCACATTCCCTGGCTCCTTCCCCACAGTCAGTTTGGTGGGTTTGCCCCTGTCCTCTCAAAAATGACAAACTGGTTGAAAAACTCCACTCGGCATTATTTTCAGTATGCAAAATACAATTTATCACTTGGAGCTTCCCCTCGGGTGTCCATATAGTGTAGTATATTCCGAACCAAGGATTTCATCCATCAATACTAAACAGCGCACCCTGCCAGCTGAAATACAGGGGAGGTGGCTTACTGCCCGGGGTGAGTAATCTACAAAACACTCCCACAGGCCCTTCCAGTTGTGTAACTGGGAAGTTACGGACTGTTTTGCACTGAAGACGTGCTCTGTCTCTCCAAACATAAAGCCTGAATTAGCTGTGCCGAGGCAGCCAAGGTCTGTGGGGGAGAGGCAGGGGTGTGTAGCTAGATGAGGAGCGGTTCGGAATGTTCTAGGAGTGCGGCTCGGGGGTTCTGTGGACACACTGAGAGACCTACCCCCTCAGCAGCTGGGTGGACCTTGTGCCCAGCTCCCAGAGCCCCTGTCCAGGCGGTCCTGAGGGGAGAGGAGGTGGCTGAAAACGGCCCCTGGGGACCATGTCCCCTTCTTCCCGCTGGGCGCTTCAGAAGCAAGCGGGAGCCTCTATATTGCTCTCTCACCGGGGCTGCTGCACAGTAAAACCCTCACAAATGACTGAATATAACCATTCTGTTTATTTTTAAAAAAACGGGTGGAAAAGATGGCCTGACTGGTCCATGATACCTGACCAAGTAGGTCTGAGGATGGCCCTGCACCCCCGAGGTTATGGGCGCCAGGCCCAGGCCTATCCGATGGCTGTGCCCACTCTGGAAGGGCCTCTCTGAGCAGCAGGGCCTGGGGCTGGGCCTGCGGAGCCAGAATTGGCTCTGGGAGAAGGGCCGGGGCGGGGCGGGGGGGGGGGGTGGGGAGGGGGCGGACCAGGGCTGAAAGGAGACCGGAGATCCAGGGGATGCAGCAGACAGCCCTTGGACACCACGGGCAAGCCTCACCCAGGAGTGATTTTGGAATTTGAGGTGACTTTTTATTCCCCTAATGCATGCCATCTTGATGAAGAAGGAGTTTTCTAAAACAGAGAATAAGCCTCTCTATACCTTTAGAAACAACATTTAAAAAAAGGGCCTTGTAACAAAGCGCTTGGTATCTTCCAGGAGGAATCGCTGAATTTCAAATAAAGACAAGATATTTTTTTTATTTTTCTCAATATAAAACATTTTTCGAAACCTAGCAATTAATTTGCATATGCGATTACATCCATAATGCAATAAATATGAGTAGAATGGATATGGACAAGACCCCCCGTAAGCCACTGAACCTCATATGTCTATACTGTGACAGGTCTTTCACCGAGTGTACTGTCCTGGGTCCCACGCAGAAAGGTTTTGGTTGCTCTGAGAAGCGTGTGTGTCACAAACCGCGTTCAGCTTTGTCCTTGAAAGAAAATGTTCTGTCCACGTGATTACACTCCTATCACATCATCATCCGATTCATAAAATAAACCTCTTGTCCACCTTCCTCACACCTGCTCCATTTATAACAGTTCACATAGATTAAAATGTTTTATGTGAAACGAGACAATATGATGCACAATCGGGAAAGATAGTTTTACAATAAAAACATGTTTTTAAAAAAGCGAATCTGTCTAATTACACTTGGAATTGGAACGTCCTCCCATCACAGACCAGTCACCACGGCCCTCCTCCTCCAGCCACTGAAACCAGCACTTCCAGAGGGAGGCCCCGGCCCAGCGCAGCGGACAGAGGCCAGGCTCTGAGGTGCTCTGAAACAAATCCCATGCAAAGAAGCCATAGGAAACACGTTCGACGCTGGATTCTGTTGGTAACTGAATGAGTTGAGCCGAGTATAATTAAGAATAACCTTAAAAATGAGTAAATTTTAGCCTGGCTGGAGTGGCTCAGTGGTTGAGCATCTACCGGGGTTGTGGGCTCAATCCCCAGTGTGGGGCATGCAGGAGGCAGCTGGTCAATGATATTTCTGTCTCTCCCTCTTCCTCCCTTTCTGAAATCAATATATATATTAACGAATAAATTTAAAAAGTGCTCAAAATGAAAAGAACAACAAAAACCCCAGCAACACTGTCCTTGAAGGTGTTCTCCTAGTGCTGAAGGCTGACAGTGGTACTTTTCCAGGGGTGGTGGTTTTCATAGGAATATTGGAGATGTTTGGTGACCTTTCAGCCACGTTGTGATAAACTCTCAAGTCCTCTAGAAGTAAGATCTATTGACATGTGGCGATTTCAGATTCTAACCTCAGGTTCCTAAAAGTGTGCTGTGAGGAAATGATTAAGCCCAGACCTGCAAAGACACAAACAGGTAACTATTAGTTTCTTTAGTACTTAACAACATACAAAACCTGAGTTTAAAGGGACAAGTCAAAGTCTCTTTACACACACACACACACACACACACACACACAGTCCATCCAAAATAGAGCACTTGCATATCTTAGAAAACAAAACACTTTCCTCTTAGCAACTCATTCGTTGAATAAACAGTGACTCAGTGCCCGGGTGTGCCAGGCACCGTGCTTTGCCCTGAGGGTTGAGAGGAGAAAGGTGTGGGTTGGACCTGATGCCCCTCCCCCTTAGTTAACTGCCTAAGGGCATCTGTGGCCTCCTACGTGGGGCTGGTGACTCTTAGATTGGCAGCAGAAGCCATTTGTCCCCAGACAGCCCTCTGAGTACAGGAACACAACTTGACTAATTTAGGCAACTCCTGACCAGGAAGATGAATGAAGTCACAAATAACTTTACTGTGTCTTTCAGGAACTTTGCAAAAGTCCATTCACCCTTTTTATCCTACGAATACACGCGTCAAGCATCCCCTTCCGAAGAGATGCACTTCTCAGAACAACCAGAGCATCAGCGACTGGTCCCTGATAAAGCCCATCTTGAAAAACCCTCCTCCGCCCCCAGCCTGTGTCCAGCAATCCTAAACCCTATGCCACCAAAGTCCCTCCATCACCCTAACCGGTTTAGCTCAGTGGATAGAGCATTGGCCTGTGGACTCAAGGGTCCCAAGTTCTATTCCGGTCAAGGGCATGTACCTTGGTTGTGGGCACATCCACAGTAGGGGGTGTGCAGGAGGCAGCTGATCCATGTTTCTAACTCTCTAGACCTCTCCCTTCCTCTCTGTAAAAAATGAATAAAATATATTAAAAAAAAAAAAAAAAAAAAAGAAGAAGAAAGAAAATCTGCCTCAAATCCCTAAAACCTCAAGGACCTGCCTTTGCTCTCCCTCCTGACACCACTGAAACTGCCAAGTTGGTGGTGGTCCACACTGCGGTGAGCTTTGCTTTGCAAACAGTATTTCTGGGGAGCCAACACCTGACAAAGTCTTGGAGCTTTTTGAGAAAAAAAAATTTTTTTTAAGCCATGAGGAGGACACACACAAAATCTGGCATATGATTCATGCCCTCCTGAAGCCCCTTTGTTGGTTTCACAGGGGTCTGTGACCACACAAGAACCCTACAGTTCTAGGAGGCGAGACTGGTAGTCTGTGGTTTGCCAAAGGCTAGACTCAGAAGAATCATATTTCTAGGGTCAAAAGGAACCTTTTGAATCACCTAGTCCAGCTATTCCCTCGACTGCATGCTGATACAGAGCTGTGTAATCTACGCGTGCACACTTGTGTTGATGGGCACTCACTGCCTCCGGGGCCACTCATTCCTTCCGCGGCTCTGAGTAACTTAAGCTGTCCGGGCCTCTCCCAGCTCACTCGGACTTCTGCTCTCAGGAAGGCCAATCACTCCTCTTCTCACACATGGAGTAAAATAGAAAGTCTCTCCGCTTACTCTTAGGGTGTGATCCCAGGATCCTGAGCAAAAAGCAGTTCCATCAGGGGACACCCGCAGAGTACTAACACGGTTTTCATGTCCAAACAGGATGGAGACTCGGGCCCCCTTGAGCACATCCCAGACGTTGATGGTGTAATCGTTGTATCCAGCAAACAGCAGGCGACCTGCAAGCGGGAGGAGGTGACAGTTATTAAACCAGTTCCTTCCTTCCTGTTTTTCTTTTCATGACTCGCTTGCTTGCTTGTTGGTTCATTCATTCATTCGTTCATTTGTTCATTCCTTCAGTAAACAGTGATTTAATGCCCCCGTGTGTCAGATACTGTGCTTTGCCCTGAGGGTTCGGAGGAGAAAGCACAGTAGCTGCCCCTGTGGAGGGTGGTCTGGGTAGGCAGATGCATAAATCACAGCACCATGTGCTAAGGGCTGTAATGGAAGTGCTCAGTTGTGTGTAAGGTGCTATGCCATCACAGAGGAAGGATCAAGGAAGACAATGCAGAGGAAATGACATTTGATGGGCTCTTGAGGGTTGAACAGGAGTTTGCCAGCAGAGGAAAGAGGGAAAGGATGTTTCAGGCAGGGGTAGCAGCATGCATGCACAGAGGCTCAGATGCAGAATCGGGAAATGGAAAGGTCCATTGACCCAGAGGATCAGTGCTGCCTTAATGTTCACCAGCAGCCTCACCACCTGTGAGGGCAGAGGTGCCATGAGCTTCAGGGCATTGAGAAAGGGTCACCCACCCTCCACCTCTGAAAAAAAGTCCTTTTTCAGGTGTGAAAGGAGAATGGAAGGCTGGGGAAGAAATGCCTCAAGGCCCTGCACATTGGACTGTCTGTCCATCTCTGCCTTGAAGCACAGTTAATGGGCACAGCCTTCATTTCCCCTGAAGGGACTGGGGCTGGGCAGCCGCTGAGGGCAGGGTGGAGTAGGGCTCACTGGGTGGGGGTTGGGGGGACACTGGCCCAAAAGGAGACTATTGGCAGGTGGGCCCACAGGAAGTTGAGCTGAGGGGCCTCTTGGCAGAGCTGGGTGTCACTTAGGCCCTGTTTAACAGTCCCGGGGGAGTTTCTGACAGAAAATCTTACCACTGAGGGAGAAGTCCACGCTGGATGCTCCAAATATGATACTCTCCTTGGAATAGATGGCCACCTCTCTGTCTGCCCGGAGGTCGTAGAGGCGACACTGAGGTGCAAACAAAGAAACTCTGACTTCTGGCTCCGGGTTGGAGAGGTGACACCACAGAGCCACCAGCAGGTGCCAGAGGCTTGTGTAGTGTGAGAGGGGAGGGAAACACCTCTCACATTTTCTCTTCTAGTGTTTTCTCCCTCAGTCCCAATTCCTATTCATCTCCAATGTAGACTTAAAGATACAGCAAATATAGAAGGCTTCCTCAGGTACAAAACCTAAAATGAAGCCCGGCCTTTTTTCTGATGAAGGATACATGTTCATTGTGGAAAATTCAGAAAAATTCAAAATGCATAGACAATAAAATAAAAGTCACCCCAAATCCTAGAGGTATTGACTAATACCTATTTCCTTCAGACTTACTTCTGTTCTATGTGTGTATTAAAAAATAAATAATGAAATAAAAAATAACATAGGGTGGATGTTTATTACTTTTCTTATTATGTTATGAGCATTATCTCATATAAGTAAATAATCTTAAAAAAAAACCATCCATAATTAATGTTGTTGTTAGTCTTCATGTAGATATATCAGAATCTAGCATATCAGAATCTAGCCATACCCTGTTAAAAAGATGTTTGTGTCTAATTTTTCTCTTTTATAATAAAACTAGAGGCCCAGTGCATGGATTCATGCACAGGTGGGGTCCGTAGGCCTGGCCAGTGATCAGGGGTGATCAGGGCCGGCCAATCAGGGGAGGGACAGGGCATGGGAGGTTGCCACTGGCCCCCGGGAAGGGAGCCAGCCTTCAGTCCCTTTGGGAAAGGGGCCGTGTCCACTGCCACCCAGTCCCGGTTCCCTGTCCAGCCAGGCGCCAAAGGCCCCGGGCAGGCGGGGTCAGGAGAGGAGGCAATGGTCATGGGGCTAGGCGTGGAAGGAATGGACACCAGGCACTAACACAGCTGCCCAGCCATGGGAGGTTGGCTGTGGGAATGCACTGACCACTGGGGGGCAGCCCCTGCATTAAGCATCTGCCTTCGGTGGTCAGTGCGCATCATAGCAACTAGTTGACCAGTTGTTCTGTTGTAATGGTCACTTAGGCTTTTTATATATAGATTCTCTCCCATGGTGACCATTCTTATGTAAAAATCCCTGATATTTCCCTTATAATAGCTATGGAATAGATTCTTTAGGATAGAATTATTTCCAAGAAATAGCATGCCCAGATCAAAGGATAGATATTTTGAAAGTTCTTCTGTCACAGAACTGCTTTCTAGAAGGCTGGTACCCAGGGTCCCGATCAGGCTGGCCCAGGCTCCCCGGCACCACCTCCACACTGAGCATTCTCCTGCAGCTCAGCACTGATCACTGAAACGTGCATTTCTTGGATTAGAGGTGATTTGAAAAAATTTTCAGTTTATTTGCCATTTTTGATGTATTGCTTTATAAATGGTCTGCATCCTACTTTCTTTAAAATTGGGGTATATATCTTATTGATTATGCCTCCTCATTCATATCTAGAGGATTTCAACTTGGCCTGGCATACCTGTAGCAAAGGATTTTTCCAAAATATATACACTTACATTTGGTTATATATTATTGACATCTATAAGTTTTAAATTTGTATTTTTATCAAAACTCTCAATCTGATCCTTTGTAATTTCTTCCATAGTACTGAATCAGAATCAAAACTATTATTACTATTATTTAATAATTTATTTGGTATTTTCAGGGCACAAGAAGGTATTTCTTTTCTCTTTAAAAAAATCAGTGAACATAATTTTTTCAATTAATATTAAAAGCTTTAAAACTAGGCCTATTTTTAACTCATTAAGTTCATGTCTGAGAATTCATTCTATGGAAATAATGAGAGGCTCCAAAAATATTTACAGCAGTAAGTATTTACTTTTTAACAGGAAAAAAACACATACCATGGAAACCTAAATGTCCCAAAATTGAAGACTGGCTACGTAAATGATGGTTTTGTCTATAACATGGGAAACTATTCAATCACCAAGAAAAAATAATATAGGACAATGTTTATTGGCATAGGAAAATGTTCACAATCTATTAGTAAGTGGAAAAAAAAAAAAAAAAGCAAATTTTGTTTAACAAGGAAAGAGCCAGAAAGGAATTGATCTCATTATGATTTTTCCTGGGTAGGGAGATTAAAGTAATTTAATTTCTCCCCAAGGTTTCTTCAACGAATACACATTTTGTAATCAGAAAAAAAGTTATTTAAAATAAAATGAAGGCAGCACATCTCTCTCTCAAATAACAAAGCTCTCGGTGACTCAGAAACATACCGTAGCGTCATCTGATCCTGAGGCGAAGGCGTCTCCGCTCGGGTAGTACCTGCAGGGGGAGGTGGGGAGAACGCACTGTAGAGCGGTGATTCCAGCCCTGGATGCCCGCCATCACCGTCGGGGAAGGCTGTTCCATGCCAGGCCCTCGGAACCAGAATCTCCACTTCTAGGGACACGAGGGCCATTTGTTACGGAGGCCAGAAGGGGAGCTCATCCGGCAGGCCCACTGGCCTCTAGTTTTCTTCCCTGTCAGTGGGGGACAGTGGCATCGGCCTGCAGAGTGTTGGTGAGGAGTAAATGTGATAATACTGGTATCTGTACCAGGCATGGAACACAGGCATGGAACACAGGCAAGGTCCCCGGACCCTTGACCACATACCTCATTCCTAAGACATGGCCCAGAGCTCAGGGATAAGAAAGCGGTTACAAACACAGACACTGGAATCAGACACACTGAGCCACATGCAGATCTCTGCACTGACCGCTTACTACATGGGATTCTTGTGCAAAGTGACTTCACCTCGCACAACCTCGGTTTCCTCGTCAAGAGGGAATAAGACAGCAATGAATGTGGCATGGTGCCGAATAAAGAGCCTACAGGAAATAACCATGCTTTCTGTCACCGTCACTCTCTCTTCTATAATCCGCTCCCCAGAGAGAGGCAGGCCTCAGGGGAGAGCTGGTGGAATAGCGGCCTTCAGAAGGAGAGGGTCAGGGTAAAGGCAAAAGCCTGGGTGAGAGACTGCGCCTTTGTAAGCTGAATTTCATCATACAGGTTTCCTTGACTTCTGTGGAGATTCTGTCCGGCACCTTAGCAACTTCATTTCTATCTGCAGTAACTTCTGAATCGATTTTCTTTGATTTTCTGGGTAATTGCTACATATTTGCAAAAAGCGATAGCCTTTTTCCTTTTATCTTATCCCATATTTGAGGGCAGGGAGCTAGACAGTTCTTACTAACATTTCTACTATTCAAGCAATTAAGTCATCTCATTTTGTTTTTGCTTTTAAGGGGAACAAGCCTAGTATTGCCCACTAAGCATACTGAAGATGCCTGGGTGATTATATTATATATACTGTCTGGACAGTGTCATCTTCCAAATTTAAAGTCAATATTGACCTCTTTCTTAGGATCCAATTCATAGATCCTGCATGTCATTTGGCCCTTTCCATGTCATCCTGTGGAATTTGGGCTCCTGTAACCGGCACAGAAATGCTGACACTCTGGCTATTGCCACTGCTCTGAGTAATAAACTGTCCTTCATCTTGTGTCTTCTGTCTACCAGCAGCTATGAACTTGTGACAACCTAACTTGATAGCCTGCAGGTCAGGTAAGACCTCAGAACATTCCCAATTCTAGACAGCTCTGTCTCTACTATGCTTTCTTAGTTCCAGCCGCCATCCTTTCTCTCTTGATCTCATGCAACTTCCCTCTAGCCGGCTATCACACATCCTTCCATTCTTGCTCCCCGATAACCTGTTCTCCACTCAGCAGCCAGAATGATCTTTTAAAAGCAATACATAGATCACATTAGCCACTCTTTCCCCCCAACTCAACAATCTGGCCTTTTGTTAGGTCCCTGAGCCTCGCATCTCCCCCTCGCTCTGGCCTCAACTTAAACATCACCTCCTCCGAGAGGCCTTCCCTGTCCATGCTAAGAAACAGCCCACCCACTGCTCCTCCTTGTTTTACTTTCACTCATAGCACTTATCAGTATCTCAAATTAAATCATATTATACATTTGTTTATTTGTGTGTTTTCTTGTCCCCTGCAAGAAAGGAGAGACTTTGTCTGTCTTATTTACAACTGTATTCCCGGTTCCTGGAACATCGTCTAGCCTAGAAGTACTCAACAAATATTTGTTGAATGAACGAGAAATATTGACTCAATAGGGAGGATGCCACCAGTGCCCCTGGCACAATTGTATTAAAGTCTCCGAGAGCTTCGGAGTGCTATTCAGTCCCACCTCAGAGCCATTCTTGCTGGGAGGCCTCTCGGCCCAGTACGTGAAGCCTGGAGGCGGTGGTGGGCTCAGGATGACCCCAGGCCAGGGAGCCCAGGAGAACAGAGGGGCAGCCGAACACCCTACTCACTGACCGGACACTGTTGACGTCTGATTCATGGGTTTCAAAGGCCTGCACGCACTGGCCGGAGCGCATGTCCCACACCATGGACTTCTTGTCACAGCCCTACAAATGCAAAGTTTCTCGGAGTTAAGGCCGCTGCAAGGACTGTGCACAGACATCTCAGAAAGACCTGCTGTGGGTTCAGCACTGAGTGTCTTCTGATCGATAGAGGACACTAAATCAGAGGAGTTATGTAACACAGACCACGAATGCCGGAGACCGGCTTTGCTTCAGGCCCTCGGAAGGCCAGAACCGGATCTCGGATTGGGCGGGGACAAGGGAAGGACCCAGCTTCCCCTGGAGCATGCTTTCTTCTTTGGCAGCTTCCTGGTTGGGCGCAAACTGTCCAGAGCCTACGTCTCACCTTCCCCATGGCGTGTCCCAGACCTTCATTTTCCCCTTCCTTCCTCCTCCCTCTATCGCTGCCTCTCTGAGCCCAGAGGGGAGGACAGACACACAGTGGCTGCCAGGTGGCCATGAACTGCACCACCACCCTCACTGGTAGACAAAGGACTCTAGACGTTTTCCTTGGTCTTTACCCCGGACACAAAGGTGTTTCCGGTTTCCGAGGGCGCCAGGTCCAAGCAGAGCACGTCGGCCCCGTGCCCGTGGAAGCTCTGCAGCAGCTGCCCGCTCTCCACGTCCCACAGGGCGCACGTCCCGTCCCCGCTCGCCGTCAGGATCTGACGAGGGGAAGGACAGGATGAGTGTGTTGTCACTATCAGCTCTGAGAGGGGCAAGACCGCAGGGAAAAGAGGCCCCTTACACACACACACACACACACACGCCCCTTACACACACACACACACACACACACACACACACACACAGAAGCCCCTTACACACACATACACACACACACACACACACACAGAGGCCCCTTACACACACACACACACACACACACACACACACACACACAGAGACCCCTTACACACACACACACAGAAGCCCCTTACACACACACACACACACACACACACAGACCCCTTACACACACACACACACACACACATATACACACACACACAGAGGCTCCTTACACACACACACACACACACACACACACACACACACACAGAGGCCCCTTACACACACACACACACAGACACACACACACACCCAACACTCTGTCACTGCTGCGTTCGTGCTCCTGCAAAATAAGACTGTGAACCAAGTAAACAACTTACCAAAACTAACTGCTTGCTCCTCAAGACGGGCTTTGAGACCCTAATCTCACTGGACTCACCATTCCAAAGCTATTGTATCATCAACCAGCTTCTCATTGTGAGAGGTCCACCTTAAAACCACGCAGGGCAGTATCTGAAACCCTCCAAGCAGCCCTCCCTGCTTCCTCCACCCTCAGGCCTAGAGATTCTCAGGCCGGGGTTCTCTCCCTCACTGCAGAAGGTCTAAGGAACTTGGCATTGCCGAATGGCATGTTTTTCTGACGGTCTTGTAGACAAGACACTGATCACCATGACAAGAGTGTGCAAAGTGCTGAGATACAGCCGGGCCCACGGGAGGGGCACCAAACGCACTCTGGGGCATCTGAGCTGGTCCTAGAGGATTGAGTGACCGCTGGGCAGGTGAAGGAGGGCGGTCACTGCCGTGACCGCCTACCTCTGCCCTGGATGGAAGGTGTGTCTGTGTAGAGTGAAGACTTCAGCCTGCAGACAGAAAGAAGCTATGGAAAGCTTCCAATCGGAATGATAAGATCAGGGTATGTTTTCGGAGACTCTGTCAGCTCAGGGGAGCGATCACAGCAGCCTCTGCACAGCCGTCAGTGAGTGAGGCTGGCCCACCCAGGGAGAGGAACGCCGGGCTGCCTGGGGAAAGGCATGGGGCAGAGCCAGTGCATGGGGCTTGGGCTCCGGCTGAGATACCTGCGTGGGGTTGGGAGAAAGGCAGTGGGATCCAGGGTTTATGGGCTCCCAGACCCAGCTGACGGCACTGCAGCACCCTGGAGCCGGGAGAAGCCATGGGGATCACAAGCCATAGAGCACCTCCCTGTGCCCACCCTCTGGCTGCTCCGGGGCCCGGAGGAGGTGATAAGACAGTGCGGGAAGTGGCTGGGCAATGTCAAGCGCCCACAGCAGAGAGCCCTCTGTGGGTGATAGTGACTGATGCTGAGGAAAGAAGACAGGAATCGGGCCTTAAGAATGGCTGGCATGCAAAGGCCCGCTGACCTGCTGCACCTCTAATTGCCATTTGCTGGCGTCTTTTCTCCCCTCCCCTCCCGCCTTCCCATTCCCCTTTCTCTTGCTCGCTAGGCTGGCACTGAGGAGGAATCTCTGCCGTCTGCAGGGGGGACACAGCACAGGAGAGGAACTGCTCCCACCTGCCTTGTGCCCGAGGCGGCCTGTCTGGGCGTGGACGTCCTGCTGGAATCTGGGAGGCCTGGACCTCCTCCCCGGAGAGGCCCCTCGGAGCACCTCCCGGAACAAGAGCTGGGTGGGTTCCGCAGCACTCGGGCTTCTTGGGTCTTCCATCTCTCCTTCCACACTAAGACCCTCTGCTGCTTTGCTCCTCCTCCGGCTCAAAGGCACCTGCCAGGTTGTGGCTGTTGCAGCCAGCTGGGCCCACAGCACCCCCTGCTGTTCAGGTCTGCAAGTCTCCTGGTTCCAGACACCAGGTGTAAATACCACATGTCAACCTGACACCCCTCTTGTCGGCAATTAAACAATGACCCAGTCACCCTGTCTCCTGATGGAGTCAGCTGAAGCCAGAGAGGGCCAGGGTAGACTTTATCTGATGCACACTCTCCTGCTTAAAACAAGTCCAAGTATGACCCCGCCCCCGGAGGCTGCCCTTCACCCACAGGGCAGTCGGGGAGCCCTGGGCTGTGTCCCTGCCCAATTGTCGGGCTGACTGCCTTCCACTGGGATCCCCTCACACCTCACTGGCAACCCCCTCACCCTCCAGGCTGGTCCAGGCAACTCCATGCAGCTGGTCTGTGACCACCCCTCCCGCCCTGAGCTCCCAGCCTGCTCCGCTGTTCAGTCCCGACTGGTTTCCATGAAGGTCCCTGAGGGCAGAGACTGAGTGTCCCTGTGGCCCAGAGCCAAGCAGTGCCTGGCAGCGTGGGTGGTGGACACGGGAAAGGTTTGCTGAATAGATGTGAGAAATAAACCACAGTGCACTTTTACAGCTCGCTAAGAAAATGTGGCCAGCGTGTTGAGTAGTGTTTTTACTTTGGGTTTTCTCAGAGGAGGGCACAGATTTACTACCTACAGCTGCTTCTTTTGCATCTGTCCAAACTGGAGCGTGAAGCAGAGTCAGCGAGGCGTGTAACGCGCACACCCTGAAGCTCGGCCGCTCCGTGAAGGTGCACTCACCTCAGGGCCTTGGAACCACCGCTCAGACCGGGAGATGGACTTCCCACCCCCGGCTCCCTGGTCCACCCCCAACAAGGCAATGAGAACAGGATGTTCAATATGGCAGGTATTTTATCTCCTCTATCAACAGCCAATAGCCCTGGCTGTCCAAATTTCTGCTTTTATTTAAAATAATAATCACTGACGAGGAACAGGAGCTTCCTCTGGAGCACCCCTCCTGCTAAGAGAAACCCTGGGGCTCCTCCCCTGCCCTCCCGCAGGCCGGCCCCTCCTGCGGGCCCTCTCTCACCTGCATGTCCGAGTTGGTGAAGCTGCAGGCCGACAGGTAGTTGGTGTGCATAGCCACAGACTTCTTTTTGGCAGCCATGCTTTCGTTTTTGTCAAAGGTCAGTGGGTACACAGAACACTTGTTATCCAAGCCCCTGGCATGGGAGGAAAGAAGTGTTCAAGGCTGATGGAGGGTAACACAGTGTACCCTCAGGAGAACAGAGATTAAGGTACAATATTCCTAATAACCTAGATGCTCTTTTCATTTACTGTGGTCAAGCATTTTCCTTTTAATGGCTGTTAATATTCCATTCAATTCAGGTACCACAATTATTCAACAACTAGAGGTCCAGTGTATGAAATTTGTGCACAGGGGTCGGGGTTAGAGAGGGCGGTGTCTGTCCCTCAGCCCAGACTGCACCCTCTCCAATCTGGGACATCCCTCTCACAATCTAGGACTGCTGGCTTCCAACCACTGTCCTGCCTCCTGCCTGCCTGATTGCCCCTAACTGCTTCTGCCTACCAGCCTGATCACCCCCTAACCACTCCCCAGCCAGCCTGATTGATGCCTAACTGCTTCCCTGATGGCCAATTGTCCCTACCTGCCCTCCCCTGCAGGCCTGGTTGACCCCAACTGCCCTCCCCTGCTTGCCTGGTCGCCCAACTGCTCTCCCCTCCCAGCCATCATGTGTCCACATGGGAGAGGCCATCTTGTGTGTTGGAGGGATGGTCAATTTGCATCTTATGTCTTTATTATATAGGATTTCCTTTGGTGGACATATTGTTTCCCTTTTTAGTCTTTGGCTTTATTTTACATAATTCTACAATAAATATTATTCATATTTTTTTTCCTATATTCTGAGTCTTTGCCTTCAAGTAAGTTCTGATGTGTAAAATCACTAGATCAAAGGTTCTACATTTTTCCAGGTTTCTGATACATGTAACCAACATGCATTCCAAGATGTCTGCATCTGAGTCAGGGGCATAGTTTTAAAGCTTATACGACTGTCACTCTGTAATGAAAATAATCATGAAAGAGATTTTTGTGCTTTTTTTTCCTTTTAAATAATGTTCAGGGAGCAATTTAACACGTTTAACAAGCAAACAATAACAATTACAAGTTCTTGTCTGTGTATTTCTGCCCATACCACAGTGTTCTATGGGTCACAGGACACCTGAAAAGCTGCTGTGGGGCCTACTTACCCACACGCAATGGCACAGCCCGACGGGGCGTACGCACACGCCATCACCCACGTGCAGGGCATGGTGACCGCATGCTCCTGAAACACAGTGTGAACCGTTCACAGAGTAAACAAGGGAGGCTTCACACACACACACATCTCAACATTTACTTTTTAAAAAGTCACTGGCCATCTTACTGAATTATATTATAGTTTCAAGGGGCAGTGGAGTGGGGTAACAATTAGCTTGTGACAGACAAGGAGTCTCACTCAGCCCCAAATAATCAACCAAACAGTATGTACGTCATATATTCTATATTTTTAATATATATTTTTATTGATTTCAGAGAGGAAGGGAGAGGGAGAGAAGGATAGAAACATCAGTGATGAGAGAGAATCACTGATCAGCTGCCTCCTGCATGCCCCACACTGGGGATCAAGCACGCAACCCAGGCATGTGCCCTGCCCTGACCAGGAATTGAACTGTGACCTCCTGGTTCATAGGTTGGTGTTCAACCACTGAGCCATACTGACCAGGCTATTAAGTCATATATTCTAAAGTTAAAATCCCGACTAGCCAAAAAAAAAAAAAAAAAAAAAAAAAAAAAAAAATCCTTAAGGCTTTACTTTTTTCTTAATGTTATACCCCATTTGTTCTTCTTCTGAATGAATAGGGGGCTCCTTTCCTTTTACAGGTCCATCCAAATTTCATTTCCAACATATACTCTGATTTCCATTTTTTAAAATATAACCTTGAATAACTGTTTACGTGTATAAGTTTGTTTACAAGAGCCTTGGTCCCCTCTGAGTCCTAAACCACTCCTGGGAGGGCTGAGTGGGGGTGGGAGGCTGATCCTGGGTTGTGCTCAGGGGTGAGAGAGCCTGTAAAGTGGAAGGATGATGTGCGAGGCCTAACAGTCCCCGGCTTGGATGGTGATCGAGTCACCCACATCCTCCTGCGCGCAGATGAGCAAACAACAAAGCCACGATTCAACAGCCTGGCTCCCACAGCAACAGATGTGCAACCGGCAAACCAGCCGCTGGCACTAACGCAGCCTCATCCTCGTCTGTGAGGGGCGGGGCTGGGACTAAGTTTGTGCAGGACAGGCCAGGCTGGCCTTTCCTCTAGGTTCTCTGTGTTCTTATGGGGAAGCACAGGCCCGGGGCTGCCTGTCAGCATCCTGGTGTCACTCACAGCCCGGCCGCCTCTCCGGCTGGGAATCACCTACTGCCCTCCAGCGAGTGAGGCAAGCAGGCCGCTCTCACAGCTCTGGCCCCTTTCCCTACAAGTGATGGCTCGGTACCCAGCCCACAGCTCCCAGAAACCGGGCAGGGTGTGCTCTGTGCCACGCTAAGGTATAAACAGAAGCAACACAACCCCAAGCACGCATTGCTTAGGCGGCGGGGAGCGGCGGAGTGCTCCATGGAGGGAGGGACGTCCACTGCCCTTTGCAAACTGTTCTTTTCCCCCAGGGGCCTAAACTCTAGGGACTTGCTCTACATTTGGCTCTGGGGCCTCACCTGATCTGGTCAGATGACAGCTGCCTACATGGCACTTTCTAAAACACATTCAATAATGCAGAATATGGGTATTGCTCAAATCTGTCATAATACGTATCCTTTTTAAATATATATATATATTATTGATTTTTTACAGAGAGAGGAAGGGAGAGGGATAGAGAGCTGGAAACATCAATGAGAAAGAAACATCAACCAGCTGCCTCCTGCACACCCCCCAACGGGGATGTGTCCGCAATCAAGGTATATGCCCTTGACCAGAATCGAACCCAGGACCTCTCAGTCCACAGGCCGATGCTCTATCCACTGAGCAAAACCGGTTTTGGCTATGTCTCCTTTTTAATATCGTGGAAAGGAAGGTTTTCTTCTAAGTAAACGTTGGAATCCATACTCGACACACAATACTCGTTACTGTAAATGCCAACGCGATGCAGGCATGCAAGCACACCTACAGATTTCCACCTTTCTCTTTAGGGGAGAGTCTGAATTTAGGTCTATGCTGCAGCCGTGCACGCTCAGGCCAGAGCTGCACGGGGCTCAGACCCCCTGCGCCCCGGACAGAGCGTGTGAATCCCTGCAGCCAGGGCTTCACCTGCCGTGTGCTCATGTCCACAGCGCCACGGAGTCTGGCCAAAGACAAAGGGGAGAGGAAGCGGGGAGCTGGGAGCCTCTTATCGTCACCCAAAGGAGGAATAAACACAGCCACCTGTGTGCGGGGCCCCTGGTGCCAGGCCTCGCCCTTCCTGTCACACCCGGAGCTCATTCCGTGGGCTCCACAGGCTCCGCCCTCTGTGGACGAAGGGTGTCAGCTCGAGGGAGGGATGAGCGCTACCGTGGGCCGCTGCGCTGTCTTAGCACCGCTGGGCTTTGTGGGGTTTCCACCCCTAGACAGGCTCCCCAAGAGGCAGGAAACGGGGACAGGGCTGCAGAGCCGGACCAGAGCACCTTTTAATGAGGCTGGGGTTCGAGGTGCCCCCCCGGAGTGCAGCGGGGACACCTTACCTTGTTAGTTGTGAAGGAATCCCACACGATCACCTTCCCGTCCTGGAGGGAGAAGAGAACACCGTTGAGGGGTCGTCAGCAAGGGCACCTCCTCTGTAACCACGGTGCAGCCCACAGGGGGGTGTGGGGAGTGACCATCCTGTCATCTGTGTGTCACACAAACCGCCCAGAGAGAAATCCAGGGGCTCTGGTCCCTACAGCACAGCTGCCTGAGCACACGGGGTGTGGTGGCTCTGGGCCACAGTGGCGGAGGGCAGCTGAGCTGACTTCCTTCAGGGCATGGGTCCCAGGGCACCCTCGGAGATGGTGACTCTGCAGTCTCCACAGCAGGCTTGAAGTCTTTAATCGCTCAAGCCATTTTGAGCCAAATCTGGCAAATGAGGTGCCGGGAGGGGGCAGTGATGCCGCTAAGGGGCACAAACAGGGTCTGATCACACAGCTGCTCGCCTTGCACAACTTCCATGCTCATGCCGAGTGTGGCTGAGGGCACCAAACCAGGTCAAAGTCGATAGTGTTGGGCCTTTCGAGATCCCTAAGGACCCTGGTCTCCTGGTCTGACTTCTCTGGCTGCACCCCACGCACGACGTGTGGGGAGGGTTAGTAACAGCTGCAGAGCAGGTAACAGCAGAGCAGGTAACAGCTGCCTACATGGCACTTACTAGGCACATTCCCTTCCCCCCCCTCAACAGGCAGCTTTCACTCGGTGACTTCCTCCACCGCACTGCCAGCCTGCCTGTCCTCCATGCCCACCTGCTGTGCGCTTTGGAGAGAAAAGGGCACCTAAGAGACTAAAATCAGTCTAATAAAAGGAAATGTGGCCCCTCCGTGAGCACAGCTTATACAACAGGGCCTGTGGGCCTGGAGAGAGGATGCCTCCTCCCCAACCCTGACCCACACGGTCAGGCTGACTCATCTCCTGCCTTTTCAGGGAGAAGGGCGGCTCTGAGTCACACCATGTCTGTTCCAGAGCCTTCCTGCTGCCCCGCTCCCTCCCACCCCCAGCCACTCTCCGCGGCAGACAGACGCGGTGGATGGAGCCTGTCAGCCCTCTGCCCCGCCTCCCTCTCTAATCAGTGACAAAAAAATCCACATACTCTATTCTTTCAAGGATAAAACAGTCTGAAAGTCGAGGTGGGAACACGCACATCTCAATAACCACGTTGTAAAAGTGAGCATCTGAGAAAACAAGGTCTGGAAAGAAGCGCTCTAAAATATAAAGAATGATGGTGATAGGGTGGTGGCAGCAAAACCCTTTCTGTGCTCTCTTTTCCAGTGTTTCTTGAATGTGGTGAAGGGCGAGCGCTAAACTTTTTATGGACATAGAAAAAGCAAGCGCTGTGTGACGCACTAGACTGGCAGCTAATACAGGATTGTAATGACCCGGGTCCTGTCAAAACAGCCCTGACGTGGATGTTGGAGCTGTGGCTCACGTAGGACATATACAGTGTTTATAGTTAAAAGGGTTATTAAAAACAACAACGAACTGCTCTTTGAAAAAGCTCGGTGAAGGCAAGGGTGAAAGGAAGCCTAACCTGGTTATGAAAATACGTGACTTCAGTTTACAGTTGTATGTTCAATGCATGTGACATCCCAATAACCCTAAAAAGTACTACGCAGTGGCTGCCCGGCTCCAGGAACCCCCGGGGACCCGGGTCTCACACGGCCGGATGGGCCTCTCCGTTGTTACATCGTGCTGGTCTGGGTGACCAAGGGATACAGCCGAGTGAGGCCAGGTCAGAGCGCCCTGGCATGGAGGCTGGCTTCTGCCTCCTCTCCCTCTCCTGGATTACGTGCTCTGGGGAGCCCAGCCCATGTCCTGAGCAGCCCCGTGACAAGTCCTCAGGGAGCAGAACTAAGACCTGCGGCCACAGCCAGAGAGGGAGCCATCTCAGAGCGAGCCTCGGCCTCATTGCTGCCTGCAGCCCGTTCGCGTCCAGCCTGCAGGCTCCTGAGAGACCGGAGCCCGCCACCCGGCCACCCGGCCACCTGGCCACCCGGCCACCCGGCCACCCAGCCACCCGGCCAAGCTGCACCGGTCCCTGGCTCTCAGGAGCCCTGCAAAAGAATGAACTTTTGCTGTTTGCAGCTGCTAACTTTTGGGGTGATTTGTCATGTAGCAATAGATAACTAATGTAAGATGGAAAATAAATGTAAGATAACTAATGTAAGATAACTAATGTCAGCTATACGAAATGAATGAAAAATTAGGCTTCACAAAATATCTTTTTTTTTTTTTTTTTCATTCTCATCACCAGACAGGGATGGTTTCTTAGCCCTTACCCTGGAGAACTGTTTTTATTTTTATTGTTTAAAGTATTACATATGTCTCCCTTTTCCCAATTGACAGCTCCCCCAGCCACTCCCACTCCCCACCCCCAGACAAGCCCCCACCACCCCAGAGTCCGAGTCCACTGGCTCTGCTCACATGCATGCATACAAGTCCTTTGGTTGATCTCTTACCCCTCCCCCTCCCCTGCCCTCTGGAGAACTGTTCTTAAATAGTCTTTACAAAACATCTATCTTAAATTTGTCCTTTAAGGCATAAAATTGCTCAACAAGCCATGGTGGCCTCTCAACCACACGCCCTCCATCTGGGAAAACCCACTGTTTCACAGCTGGCTTCCTCACACCTATGACGGTGAGGCGTGCTCAGGAAGGAACGGTTTTAAATGGCCAGTCAAATCGAGGTTACAGCGTTTCAGCAGGACCGATGCCCAATCTCCCCACATGAGCCCGGCCCCGCGGAGAACAGAACTGCCATGCCCGCCACACTCGTGTCCTCTGGGGAAGCAGCAGCAGCAGAGAGGCCGAGAGGGTTTCTGAGGAGGCCCGCTCCCGCCCCCCGTCACCCCCCAACACCGGAGAGCCGCTCCCCATCACACCACGGCGGGCGACGTACCTGGGACGAGCTCACGATCCTCCGCTTGTCTTTGCACCAGTCCATGCACAGCACTTTGTTCCCGTGGCCTTTGAGGGTCCGCCTGGTCTTCATGACGAACTGGCCCAGCGCCTCCACCCGCTCCGCCACCTGGTGCACTGGGGGGACAGGGCCACGGTCAGCCTGCTGCCCGCACGCCGGCCCAGGGGACACAGGGCTTCCTCTGCAGCCCGGCTGGGTCCCCCTGACTCTGCCATGCCCCCCAGCCGCTCTCTTAGAAGAGGGAGAGACAGCGGTGTCAGTCTCTGTTTGTGAAGCCACGGCCATACGTGCACGCTGAGGGGCGAAGGACAGGACCACCTCGTGTCTGCGGAGCCCCGAGCGGAATCCTGCAGCTGAAGGGCCGCAGCTCTGCGAGCGGGCAGGTGGCAGCAGAGTGCGACCGCTCTCCCCACGTCTCAGGGGAGGAGACGAGGCGCACAGGGGTCACCGGGCTAGTGCTAGGCCACACCACTCCCTGGGAGGGGAGCTGTGGCTCCTGGTTCTTTATCGGCCACTTTCTCGTCACAAGGAAAAGTGATTGACAAAAACCACCCCAGCAGGTGCATAGTGTGTGCTCACGCTGCTCTGAGGCAGGTCCGTGACTCCTAACTGACCCCCTGGGCCCGGTGTGGGCCTGGGACATAGTAGGGGACCCTTCGCGTGCTGCGGGAAAGAACGGATGAGCAAACCGCTTTGGGTTTACCGGGAACTCCCAGTGTCGCAGAGATCGATGCCACGGTCTACACGTCTGAGCACAGGATCTAGGGAAGGTGCCTACACCGGGAAGGAGCTCCAAACAGCAGTCTTTCAGGGGCCGGGGCCACAGGGAGAGCTCCGGGGGCTTGTCCAGATGCTGTCACTGCCCCGTCTCAGAGGGAGACCCGTTTCCTCTGAGAGGAAGGTCGCAGAGGCTGTCCCGTCCAGCCCACGTCGTGCAGGTGAGAAAACCGGGGCGAGGGATCCCGTGGCCCCTCCTGCTCCCAGAGCCCCATCCTCTTTCTGGCGGAGGCTGAGCCCAGGTCTCCTTTCTTTAACCCTCTGGCCGGCGCTTCTCAGCGCCTCAGCCAGGTGCTCCCGCAGGTGCGCCCTGGCGGGCCCCACGGGCAGGAGCTGCGCTCGGCTGGCGTGTTCCTGCCGCACGTGCGTCCCCCGGACCTGGCCCCGGGGAGCAGCAGACAAGCCGAGACGGGAACAGAAGGACTGGACCGCAGAGGAATGTGAACACTGAATGCAACCCCCAAGGTCTTGGGGTCTCCATTGCTCTAAAGCAAGCCTGCCAACCTCAAAGGCTGACACGGGCCAAATAAACATACTGTCCACCAGCTTCCTTCCCAGGAGTCTGGGCGGAGAGGGCTGACACACCTTCTAGGAAAACCCCCCCTTCCTGCTTCCCTCCCTCCCTTTTCTCAAACACGTCAGCGTGTTTTCCTAAAAAGAAGGAACTCTTACATAACCACGGTGTAATCACCAAAGTTAGAAAATGAACACTGAAACAATCCCACGCCTCACCCACAGGCCTTCCTGACATGCCCTCTACCGTCCCACACAGCTTTAGAGCAAGCGTGTCAAACTGCGGCCCGCAACAAATATAACGGCATGTACAAAAATGTTGATTCTATCGTTGCTCTTATCCTATTTTATATTATGCTTTTTGAAATAAACCTACGTTTCTATGAAAACTGAAGCTTGTGGGGGTTTTTTGTTCGTTTGTTTGTTGTTTATTGTTTGTTTTTGTTTTTGCAGCCCACATAAACCTAAACCTTGTTTATTTGGCCCGTGTCAGCCTTTGAGGTTGGCAGGCTTGCTTTAGAGCAATGGAGACCCCAAGATGCTGGGTTGCATTCAGTGTTCACATTCCTCTCCGATCCAGTCCTTCTGTTCCCGTCTGGGCTTGTCTGCTGCTCCCCGGGGCCAGGTCCGGGGGACGCATGTCCGGCAGGAACACGCCAGCCGAGCGCAGCTCCTGCCCGTGGGGCCCGCCAGGACGCACCTGCGGGAGCACCTGGCTGAGGCGGCATCTTGCAGTTTCTCCGCTGCAGTGACCATTTTGCCTCTTGTAATGAAAAGCACCTTGTGGGGATGGACGTTGAGACTACATAAATATCTTCCTGATCCTCAAACTCAAATCCCTGGCTGTAGCATCCACCTGTTAATGATTCTTGCCCAAGCTGGTGACTGGGAGGGCTGGCCAGTGGTGATTTTTCTAATTCCATCATCCCTCCGCAATTTCCAAGCTGGCTTTCTGATTCAGAGAGAGCTTTTCCTCCACCCCATCTTATGTATTCATTCGTTTATACTAGTGGGGGCTCATGAATTCTCGCCGCACGCAGAAGGTTGTAAGTCCTTTACTATTACTACTTACTAAATAGACAAACACAACTGGCAGTGGTTGAATAGAGTCCCTGATTTGCTCAGATGGAGCTGCATCAAGCATGCTCTCGTGACCTTGTGGTGCGTCCCAGCATCCCCTGAACCCCTCTCCCGGCAGGCTCATGTTCTCTCCCTAACCTAGCCCTGGAACCAGCCACGTCTCCAAAGTTGGTTTTGCTTAGCTGCCCCATTTCTTGGTGATGAAAAAGCACATGCGAACAGGCTAGAAAGTCTTTGTGAAATCCCAAGTGGTCAAACATACTTGCTGAACGATAAAGTGCCACATGGTGTACGATGATGATGCCATCACTTCTGCTAAACACCGCCTTCTTTCCTGCCCCAAACAGCACGTGGGTCTCTTACAGACACAGTCTTCCCGAAAACATGCTGAATGGACGTAAAAAGACTGAATTTTCTAAAATTTTATAGGCTGTACACAAGCCTAAAGCAGCTCAGAGTTGCAATTATATTCTAATTAGTATTTTACTTTGGAGGGTCACATCGATATTATTACTGCTTCCCCCAATTCAGCATTAGGACAACCACAGCTATTTAATCTCCTTCCAAAAAAAAAATGATGATTCACCAACCAAAATAGGGCTCTTCTTACATAATGAGAATTTGAACACATCTCAACTGCTAATTATTTTTACCCACCGCCATTTCCCTTCCCACATACAATTCCCTCCTACCACTCTATCCTGTTTCTGTCAAATCTCACATCTGTCGAATGAGTTAAAACAAATATAACAGTAAAACATTGTAAGAACAACTGGGCCCGAGTGGTTTGGCTCAGTGGATACAGAGTCAGCCTGTGGACTGAAAGGTTCCAGGTTCGATTCCGGACCAAGGGCACATGCCGGGGTTGTGTGCTTGATCCCCAGTAGGGGGCGTGCAGGCAGCAGCCGATCAATGATTCCTCTCATCATTAATGTTTCTGTCTCTCCCTCCCTCTCCCTTCCTCTCTGAAACCAATAAAAAATATATTAAATAAGTAAGTAAATAAATAAAAACAACTGGAAGTGAGCTGAATATGCTCTGTAAATAATTTGGGGAGCTTGTTCAGAGCAGCTGTGCTTTCTCCTTTGCCCCTTCCAGCCTGTGCCCATACTCCACCCCAGACCTTCACCACACTATTGTCTGTGACCACGGGTGATGCATATATGCATACAAGTTCTTTGGTTAATCTCTTCCCTCCCACGCACCCACCCCACCTTCCCTCTGAGATTCAACAATCTGTATCATGCCTCTGTGTCTCTGGATCTGTTTCATTCATCAGTTTATTTTGTTCATTAGATGCCACATAAATCATGTGATACTTATCTTTCTCTGACTGGCTTATTTCACTTAGCATGATACTGTCCAGGTCCCTTCATGCTGTCTCAAAGGGTAAGAGATCCTTTTTTTTTTTTTTTTTTTACTGCTGTGTAGTATTTCATGGTGTAAATGTACCACAGCTTTTTTATCCACTCATCTACTGATAGGCACTTGGGCAGTTTCCAGATCTTAGCTAATGTAAGTTGCGCTGCTATGAAATAGCGGTGCACATATTCTTGCTGATTGGTGCTTTGCATTTCTTGGGATATAGTCCTAGAAGTGGGGCCACCGGGTCAAATGGCAGTTCCATGGTCAATTTTTTGAGGAAACTCCATACTGTTTCCCACCATGCATTGTATGTCTCCTGGGTGCAGGTGCTGGCTGGGCTGAGAGATTTACACACAGCCCGAGGACACAGGCCGTACCCCTATTTCTACAGAAAAGGGCACAGGCTGGGAGGCTAAGGACCTGATACACGCACACACTCTCGAACCCTAAGAGCAGATAAACCCCTCCCACAGAAGGGTAAACTCTGGGCCGGTAGACAATTAAAGATTAGGTAAGGCAGTGACAACGACTTCTCAGCCCGGGAGACTCCCCAACCTTGGGTCCCCCACACTTCCTGATGGGTCAGTTCGGGATTCTAGACCAGGAACCACGAAACCCACACTGCTCCCGGCTCGGCCACCACCTGTCTGGGAGAGGGAGGCAACATTCCAGCCCGGAGAGACCTGAGCGACTCAGCCAGTCGTGCCCAGCACCGGCCCTGGACAGGGCACTCGGAGGGCAGGGCTGGGCCCGTCCTGCCTGGGCCCCGGCAGGAGAGCAGAGCAGTGGTTTCCAGGTGTGAGTTGTACACGTCCCCCTCCCCCTGCCCTCTTCTACTCTTCCACACACAGAATCTTACTAGAAGCCATCACAGAAAACAGAGCGGAGCGAGCTGGTGGATGGTGGTCGGGAAAGGGCGCTGGGCTCAGAGTCACACCTGCCTGCTCGGCATGCCTCCTGCCCGCTGGTCCCACAGCCCAAACAGCCAGGGCGGGGCCCGGGAGCTGCACCAGCCCTGTCGCTTCTCAGGGGAGGAAAATGAGGCCAGAGGGGAGGGCACGTTGTATGTTAGTGAGCCGTGCCTTGCTCTGTAAAACAGGGTGCTAAGAGTTCATGTAGAGGGGGCCTTAGAAAACATCTAGAATTCTGGTTTCAGGCAGAGATTAATTTTTTCATCTGGCTTCCTTTCGGGGAATAGTGTTGCTACTTACTTTATAATCTGTGCACACACGAGTTTAAAGTCAAATGTATAGTATGCAGGTCAGTACACAAGACTTCGAGCCATGTAACTAACTTCCTGAAGTGAAAATACGCAGCAGGGTCCCTCGGGTCACTCCACACGGCCACGAGAAAAGTGGCCTGAGCACGGACAGCTCTGAAG